TACAGGCGTGAGCCACCATGCCCGTTCTGTTTTATAATCATCCTATTCTAACTTTGTCACAGTTAACTTATTCATTCAGCCATCCTATCCTTCAGTTAATGTGGTTGCTTTTTTATGACTTATTTATTATGTTGTTTCATTCACTTTTTAAATTTTTTAATGCTTATTAATACAGTTATATAAGGCTCTGCATTTTCACCAAGTACTGCTTTAGCTGTATTGCTATAGATACTGATGGCAGTGTCTTCCTTATTACCACCTTCTGTTATTTTGTATTAATGTTTGCAATTTTTTCTTTGACTCAACAGTTGTTTAAAAGAGTATTTAAAATTATCCACATAGTAATGGCTTTTTGTTTTTTTAATTTTTGATGTTATTTCTACATTGTCATTAAAAAGTTTTTTGTTCTATTTTTGTTTTTCGAAAATTTTGAGGTTTTGTGGTCACTTGACAAGATGGTCTCTGTTTTTTTTTCTCATTTATTATGTAACTTAGTTCTCTTTCAACCTTGGTAATATTTTCACACATGCCTTGTTCAGCTTTAGTGTCTATCTCTCTTTACCTATGGTATTCTGTAGTTTCCTATGATGTATTTCGGCATGTAGTTATTTGAACTACCCTTCTTAGGTTTTGTTATATTTTTTTAAACTGAGGGTTCATATCTTACTTCAATATTCAAGAGTTTCTCAGTCATTAACTCTTTGAATATTGCCCAATTCCTTCTTTTCTTATTGGACCTTGTCTTAGACATATGTTGTTTTTTCTCATTTAAATGTTCATGTTTCCTCTCTCTCATATTTTCCATGTCTTTGTTTTTTGAGGCATGTTGGGTAATTTTGTCTAACCTTCCAGTTTCCTTTTTTGTTGTTGTTGGAGAGAGTCTTGCTTAGTTGCCCAAGCTGGAGTGCAGTGGCCTAATCTCAGTTCACTGCAACCTCCACTTCCCAGGTTCAAGTGATTCTTGTGTCTCAGCCTCCCTAATAGCTGGAATTACAGGCACGCACCACCACGACTGGCTAATTTTTGTATTTTTAGTAGAGATGGGGTTTCACCATATTGGCTAGGCTGGTCTCAAACTCTTGACTTCAAGCAATCCTCTTGCTTCAGCCTCCCAAAGTGCTGAGATTACAGGCATGAGCCACTGCACCCAGCCATCTTCCAGTTTCCTGATACTGTCCTTATTTATGGCAGATATCCTATTCAGTACATCAGTTGCACTTTCCTATAGAAAATATATATGTTTTCTGTCTCAGACTTCTGTTTGGTCCTTTGACAATATGCCTGTTTTATTTTCATTCTGTTCATGTTTCTCCCTTTATCTGTTTAAACATATTAAAAATCTTCCTTTATTTATTTAAACATATTAAATTTCTTCCTTTATCTAAACATATTAAAACATGTTAAATTTAAACATACTGTCCTGTTATCTTTGGTTCTTGACATGCAATTATTCCTATTTATTGGATCTGTGGATTTTCCCTCATGGTGATTCATTTCCTCAAGCAGTTTGTTAGTTCTGCTTATCTTTAGTGTGGCTCATATTTTTATGGTAAGCCCCTGTTCCCTGGGTTTGGGGATCCCCTCTACAGAATAGGTTTGCATTTTTCTCTAACATGGTCCTTGTGGATTTCTTGAGTTCTGAACTACTTTTTACATTGATTTGTGGCCTGAGGCTATCGTGCTAGGCAGGTAGTAGTAAGTCACTATCCCAACAGTGCTGGCCTGGATTCCAATTTCTAGTATCTCTTTTTCTTCCCCAAGTTCCAAGTGCATGGCAAGCTTCCTTTTGACTTATCATCCTGGTGAGAATTTTTCTTATCCGTGTTTCTTATTTTAAGTTAGAAGCAGCAGTTTATGAAACCTAAAATCCTATGAATTTTAGCTCTTTGGCACAGCTCTTCCTGTGCACACACTAGATTCTGCCCAGGCTCATTTCTCATGTGGGCATTAAATCTGCACCTCCCAGCCTATGTCAAGTCCTGCTTTTCCATACGTCCCTCATCTTGAGCTCCTATCATCACTTTCACTTTTCACGCCTTGGAGGCTATGAATATATTTTTTTCTTGTTAAGTTTTATCCAGAATTTTAATGTGTGAAATAGGATTGAGGGATTTACCAACATAATGTCCAGACATCCATAAGTAAGATTTGAAGATAAAATTATTTTTTTACAATAAATTAAATATGACTCTATTATTGAGTAAAAATTTGAAATTTGCCTTAATTCTTAAGATAGTCTGAACACTAAAGAAATTTTGTTTGCGACAGAGGTTTGGGCCAGTTGCCTTCATCCCTTGAGGCTACATGTTTGTTCTATTTTGTCATAGGGGGTACTTCTGTGGAAAAGTTTGAGAGGCCTTGCCCCGAGGTGACCTTGACTGCTAGGATGGAAGTCATTCCGTGGGCAAGTCCCCTGACACGTAAATTATCCACTTGCTGGCTCAGTGGGCTGTAGCTAGTGTTTTGCCTAGGCCTGGGCTAAAACGTCAGGCAGCAGATTTTTAAAAATTATTGTTACTCATGACAAAAAGCTAAAACACTACAAAAGGCTGTAAAGTGGAAAGAAAAAGAGCCCTAACCAGCCTCCCTAGCGTCCCCCTCCTAGTCCCATAAGTCCTCACTGCTAACAGCTTCTCACAAACCTTTCCAGAAATGTTATATTTGTAGATACAGATTTCTTCTTTTTTTAAAAAAAACCAAATGAAATCATAGTATACATGTTCTGCAGATTTAAAAAAAATTCATCAATGCATTTTGGATATTTTTCCATACCAGCACATGTAGCTTTCCCTCGTGTTCTCAGCAGCTGTAGTGGATTTCCTGTACATTCATAGATGTAGGGTTTCTTTCCCATATGTGTGCTATTTATGAAAACAATTTCGGGAGCATACTTGTGCAGACATCTTTTCGTTAAGTGTGTGAGCAGATTTGTAGGTTAAATGCTGGACCAAAGGTATGCACCTTTCAGCTTTTGATGGACAGGTTTGGAGTGCTTTCCAAAAAAGCTGCAGCAATTTGTATTCCCAGAAACGGTAGAAGACCCGCCTAGTGAGCAGGACTAAGGAGCCTCCAGATTTGTCCTTTCTGCCTGCCTGGCATTCCCAAAGCATGCAGGGATATTGCTGTCTGACACCCTTCCTCCCAAAGCTGCACTGGCTGTCAAGAACGAAAATCTGATTATCGATATCAAGATCAGATGCTGCTTGATTTTGAGGAATATGGTTGCTTGAGTGGTGTTGGTATTCCAAATGGAGACCAGGCATGGGCCAGAGGCTGGCTGGGGGGCATAAGGGACAGTGGATGAAAAAACAATCTATTCATGGATTCACCGAACTCTTTATTTCTTAACACATATTGTTGTTTTTTGATAAGTAAGACATTTTCAGTGTTAAAAAGGGGGGAAATATGAAAACACACAAAGTAGTTAATAAAGCTACTGATATGTGAGTAATTAAATAATGCTAATTAAATAAAACTACTTTGTATGTGGGATAACTGACACCCCAGTTAATACAAATAATTCCAGTGCTGAGACAAACACTATGTTCAGTCATTTCCCTGAGCCACTTCCCAGCTCTCCTAATTCCCCAGCTACCCAGCGCCTCTCTAGGACCTCCCAGACCTCCTTATGGTTCAGAAACTAATAGGTCAACACCCAGTACAGCAAAACATGGCCTTTTGTTTTTTTATTCTGGGTGCATATGCGTATGTGTACACCCTACACATAGGAATGACAGAGTCTTTAACAGCTGGTTCAGCATGGACACCGACCAAGCAGGTGGACAGGAGTCTGGGAGGCTGGCTTTTGCTGTACTAGGTATTGCCCCATTAGGTTCTAGACCATGGGAAGGTCTGGGAAGTCCTGGGTGGTGGGGGAGTTAGGAGGGCTGGGGAGTGGCTTGGGAAGTGACTATCATTTATTATGAAATGTTTTTAATATTTTATTTTTTTGAGACGGAGTTTCACTCTTGTTGCCCAGGCTGGAGTGCAATGGTGCGATCTCAGCTCACCACAACCTCTGCCTCCTGGATTCAAGCAATTTTCCTGCCTCAGCCTCCCAAGTCACCGGGTTCACAGGCATGCACCACCACTCCTGGCTAATTTTATATTTTTAGTAGAGATGGGGTTTCTCCATGTTGGTCAGGCTGGTCTCAAACTCCCGACCTCAGGTGATCTGCCCACCTTGGCCTTCCCAAAGTGCTGGGATTACAGGCATGAGCCACTGCACCTAGCCCTGTTTTTAATATTTTAGCACCCTCTGTGTCCATACTGGTGCATACAGGCAGCTCTAAGTGTGCATTCCAGTTTGTGGATTTTTAAATATAATTAAAAGCATATATTGCACCAACTATTTGCTGCTTACAAGAGATATGCTTTAATGATAAGCATGCAGAAAGTTTGGAAGTAAAGATAGGAAGATGCACCATACAAATAGTTACCAAAATGTATACTGATCTTAATGATTTGTAACTCTCTTTTAACTTAACATTGTCCCTATGGTAAAACATTCTTCTGTGTTGTTGCGTATTATGTTATGGAATGCATGTATCATCATTCATTTAGCTAATTAAAATATTATTAGATGTTTTAGTAATTTCTAGCATTTTATTTGTTTCTTTATTTTGAGATGGAGTCTCACTCTGTCACCCAGGCTGGAGTACAGTGGTGCGATCTTGGCTTACTGCAACCTCTGCCTCCTGGGTTCAAGTGATTCTCCTGCCTCAGCCTCCTGAGTGGCTGGGATTACAAACGCCTACCACCATGACCGGTTAGTTTTTGTATTTTTAGTAGAGACAGGGTTTCACTATATTGGCCAGGCTGGTCTCAAACTCCTGACCTCAGGGAATCCACCTGCCTCGGCCTCCCAAAGTGCTGGGATTACAGGCACGAGTCACCGCACCTGCCCTAATTTCTAACTTTTTAATATAAAAAATAACACTAGGTTGAATAATTTTGAGTGTATGGTACCACCTCAGGTAATTCTCCATTTCTTTCCTCAGGATACATTTTTGGCTCTGGAACCACGATTTTAAAGGTGATGTACATTTTTAAGTCTTTTTGCTCTATTTTGCTAAATTGACCTCTAGAAAGGTTGCATGGATTTCTAGTGCCATTAGCAGCGCATAACAGTCCCAGTGCCACCTCCCAGCTCTGTGTGGCATTCATCACTATTTTATGATGAAGCAAATAAGTGAACAAAGCAGAAAAAGAAAAAAAAAAAATGCATCTATTTTTTAAGCTTTCCTTTTTTTGTTACTCACGAGTGGTAGCATTTTAATGTTTTTTATGTGCTATGAGTTGTATACACTTTATATGTGTGTTCATATTTTAGAGACTGGTCTGTAAGAGTTCATGATAAAATAAGGATATCAAACCTCTGTCATAAATGTTGCAAATATTCTCCTCAGTTTTTTGGCCATTTCTTGATAGTTCTTTTTGAAAAAGGTATATGACATACAGTCAAGTTTTATCTTTTTACTTCTCACCTGTGAGTCAGCTACAAGTTCGGAGTTGCCTTTTACTAGGGGGAGGATGCCCTCAAGTCCTAAGAGGCTTAGAAATACTGGGGGAGTCTCTTTGTCCAACCCATTAGAAAAGTCTGTTAATGGACAGCAGAGATTTTGTAGAATCCGAATGAGATAGGGACTCTGGGTACAGCTTCCTTTACTGCTGCCTGGATTGTTTCTAAAGCTTCTTGCTATTGGATCCCCCTCAAATGTGGCCACTTGCCTAGTGATTTAGGATAGAGGCTGAATTGAAGCAGTGTGAAGCATACTGTTTTCCAGTTTCAAGGAAGCCACTGTGATATGGAGCCTCCTTTTTGTTGTTGGTGACTTCAGGGCAAGCAGACTGTCTTTTCATAGCCTATAGCATGTCTCTTTAGATCTAAATGTCACTTTGGATATTGGGAGCTTGGATTTTGTCCTCCCTCAAAGCCCATCCATCTGTAGTCAGTAGTACTTGAGTGGCTCAGAATGCAAAGCCACTTGTTTTCTTGGGGGAGATCATTAATGAAATGCTTAGAATTCACACCGTGGTCTTGATACCAGATGGAGAATGAAGCCCACACCAAAAGCAGAGATGGAAACAACTGGATCATTGATGACATTCTTAAACCACTTATTCAACTGTCTCCAAAACTCCCCTACAGAGCATTTGTATTATATAAGAGAATGCATTCTATTATTGATGATGCTGGTTCAAGCAGGGGTTTCTGTTATTTGTAGCCAAAGCTTCCCAGTGGGTGGAGTAGCAATATTGCCAAAGCCCCATGAGGCCCCATGGCTTCTTTGTACGCCCCAGAGCAGAATCTAAAATGCACAGATCCATTGCTCTTTTGCAGATCTTCGAGCTGAAGTGTCCTTGTGGCCCTCCTGTCGTGAGCCAGTCCTTTCTCCTCAGCTGAAGTTTCCCCTTCCTTTCAGCTCTCACTCTTCTGAGAAAAACCAGAAGAACCTCCCGCCCTGCGCTCATCCCCCCTTCAGCCTCTTGTTTGTGGGGAAGCACGACTCGCTGCTGTGGAGTAAAGGGAAGGCTCACCCGTGTGGGGGAGTGAAGAGGCAGTTGACTCACTACTTGGGAGGCAAAGAGTATTTCCAGCCAGAGAAGATTCGGAGAAGACTGGTCACGTGGAGTGTGCTTGGCTTACGGTGTCTCCCTGTCTGGGAACTTTAAGTGGCCTGGGATACTGCTTTTGGGGGCTACTGAGAAGCTCAGAAATAATGGGCTTTGGAATCATTTAATAGCTACTTCACTCTTTCCTTCTCTCTGCTCTGTCATGCTTGGTATTGGCCCCATCCTTGTAGCTGGCTTCAAGATGACAGCATCAGCTCGAAAAAGAACATCCTGAGGAGTGAAGGACACTCTTCCTGTGGCTTCTTCTCAGAAGAGAAGACATTGCCAGCCCTCACTGTACCCCCACTGCAGGTTCTATTCACATGGTAATGGCCATCACTGTGCCTTAGGCTTATCTTGAGAAAATCACTGGCTACTGGGAATAGAGGAATGGAGGGCACTTTCAGGCTGTTCCCTGAGGCCCTGCCCTGGCCACACAGCTGCATGAGAGTGGAGCAGATATCTGAACAAAATGGGGGTTCTTTGAGGAAGGAGGATGGTGATAATGGATACCATGACAATCAAAGGCACCATCTGTAAATACCATTTGTGGAGTTTCACCATGTTCCAGGACTATAATATTTCTAACACCCCCTCAACCTCAGCAGTGAAGTCATATTGTTATCTGGTTTTACAGAGGAATAGACTGTGCTCAAAGGTCAAGATCTTTTGATATTATTAAACGAAACTTTTTCTAAAATACTGTGGTAATAGAGTTTGCCAGTGGGCAGCCCAGGAATAGAACTTCCTGGGTGGTGCAGGGACTTCAGCCAAGTGCAGTGTGAGACTTGTCCCCTGCACCTTTCATTGAGCTCCTCAGGTACTGGTTCCCCACTGGATGCTCCTTGGCTCTCACCATAGAAAAATCACAATCAGCAAAGCCAGGCCTGTTCCTAATATGAGAAGGCTTGCCAGGCACCAGGTGGACTTACATTGGAGGACAAGGTCAGGCACAAACCTTTTTCACATGTCTTCCCGCCCCCACCCCAGCCCACTTGGGGCCACCCAAAAAATGATGCCCTGGAGCGTTGGCCTGCCATTAAAAGTGAAGAAATGCTTAATCAAATCACGCCACTTGAATTGAGTTGAGCTGGAATGAAAAAATTGTGCAGCGCTGCCCGCAATGGAAATTTACCAGGCCAAAGTGGACACCAAATACTCCCAGGTTGTTTTGAAATAGATACGGTTGTGTTCTGTAAAGTTCTGAGATCCGTTTCCAAATATTTGAAAATCTTTCCATTAACTAGGATTGCTTTAGGAGAACACACACACACACACACACACACACACACACACACACACACCTCCCCCACCCCAAAGGCTTATACTGCGTGCATGGAAGAAACAGAAAACTCTAGACACCCCAAATATCTCTTGAAATTGGCAGAGATCCATGAATCCCCTCTGTTGTCCATTGAGACAGCTCTCATTTTTTAAAGTTTATTTGCGTATTCCCCCCTCAAAAATGTCATGACTAACTTTCCATTCATTATCAAAATATTCTTTTGCCACTAATTTCCCTTCTTGGTTAAAATAAACAAAACAGAGTGAATGCTGTTGGCATTGCATCTAGGATGCACTCAGCTGTAAACAAGAGAACATTTTCTTAACAGATCTTGAAAAGTCCTCCCGTGAGAATTTCCTGTGCAGTCTGTCTCTGTTTCTTAACTCCACTTGGCATGGAGGGCAGAGACTCAGCGGCGGCAGGAAAGCGGAGGCTGCCGCAGGCTTGCCAGGGTCCAACGTCTCATCCCCCATGGCCAGGCCCCTGCAATGTACCCGTGGAGTTGTCACATGACGTGGACACCGGGACTGGCCACCATGTGACCTCGGGTGGCCATTTAACATCTTTGGACCTCAGTTTCCTCAGCCATAAAATGAAGCCATTGGATCTGATGACCTCTAAGCTCCGTTCTGTACCAAAACCCTAGGACTCAAATCTAGCAATGTCTAACTAAAACCAAAAAAATGTGGAGAAGATACTTGAAAAAAAAATCTTAAATTTTAGGATTTGTGAATATGCAGTGAAGGGCTCCATGGGGGAGAGAAACATTTCATTTTTAAAAGGTAGAACACAAGAAAAGTAGGGCAGAAAACCAGCTTGTCCAAAGCTTCCTTTCCAACAACACAAACAAGAGCTTGTGACCCCCCAGAATATACCCTGTAAGTGGAGGAGCAGACAGGGCGTGCAAAGCAGGCCTCCTCCACTTCCCGGAGCTGGGGGAGCAGAGTTCCTCGCTCTTTAACTCCTTCTAATCCACAGCCTGATTTGTGTGGCTGCTGCGGGCACTCTGGCATGTGGGGCAGGCCAACAGTCGTTTTTGCAGAAGTTCCCCAGGCCTCCTAGAGAAATGAGGAGAGGTCTGAGGTCTGAGGGTGGGAGTGAGGATGACTCTCAGTGCAAAGAGAGGGCCAAAGGTGTCTGTCTCGGGAGAAACTCACCTGAAAGTGACAAGACGCTGAGTCCTCCCTTGATTAATACGGCCACTGAAAGAGGGGGCACTACCCAGTGTTTCTCAGGGAGTCTCAGGGGTGGTCTCCTGAGGACGCATCCTCCCTGGAAGGATGTGAAGCAGGAAGAAGAAATGCCAGTGACAAAGGTGTGACCCTTCAAGATTGGCCACAAAGAGACATCATCATCTCTGCTGGGGAGACTACCCTGTCTGGAATACTCTCGGGAGGCAGCAGCAGCCCTGTGGCCGAACTTCCTGGAGACCCCTGATGTCATGTAAAGGCCCAAAGTGGGATGGGGAGTGCAGCCACAGCAGTGCGTCCCAACTGCACAGGACCTGGTCAACCCTGGGAATTTGGAAATGGGAAGGGACCTGAGAGGATGGAGGCATGGATTTCTATATTGGTACCAGGAAGAGCCTGGGAGTCAATAACACTGGGAGCTCTCGTAGTCACCCCCTAAATCAGATTGGCTTAGGGAGCTGAAGATGACATTGGCAACACTCTTAACAGCCGCTCCTCAAACATGGCTCCCAGTTCAGGTCAGGAGACCAAGGCTTGGCGGCTGCACCAGTTTCAAGAGGAATGAGATAAACAAGGATGAGACAGTGGTTTCTTCCATACGTCTACATTCATTTCACTTAAAAGACTGTTCTCTATTCTGAGAGGATGTCTTCCCCAATTGTGGCATTAAAAGTGTCCTTTTATGAAATAATGGCAACAGGTGTTAGGTTTAGAAAAAAGGTTTTTATTTGACAAAAGAAATTGGTAAATTTTGCTGAGCCCTATGGCCGATTCTTGTAGTTTTCTCTCCATATTGGCTTTCCCCTTTTTTATTCTAAGAGGAGTTTAAAGGGGTATGTGACCATCCAAAATAAATCTTACAGTTCCCAGGTGTCCCTTGGAGCTCAGTGTGTCCATTTGCCCAAGTTCTGGCCAATGAGATGTTGGCAGAAGTGATGTATACAA